ACCCTTGTATCCCCCAGAAAGCCTTAAAATGGTCTGAAACCTGAACCTTGAAAATGTCAAAATGTTAGACTGTTCTTAAATGGAAAAATTGTAAAAAATTGTTCAGAAATTTTAGAAAAATTCCCCACAATCAACCTTGGTGTTTTGAACAAAATGGTTTGCTTGTTGAAAAGCAACCCTGCACCCTGAAGCCCCAGACCTGAAATCCCCTACCCTAGAACCAACCTTTTAACATTTTTTTTTGGGGGGGTCCACGTACCACGCGGTGATTCGAAGACGCTTCACTAAATCTGTTCATTGTGCGGGCTTGCGCAACTCAGTTTGTCAAAAACATTGGGGTGTTCGATTCCCCCCGGGTGCGCTTTCGCATCCTTAGCAGCTCCAGCGGCACATCGCCAGCATCACCTGCATCATCCGCATCAGCGCCTGCCAAGGATGCGGATGATGCAAGTGATGCTGGGGATGTTGCCTATGCTGGTGAACCCCCCCCAGTTCCTTGTTGAGATCATTTATTTCCCCCCTTTTCCTTCTAAGGCCTTTTCCCACCCTCAGTTCTTCTCCCTTTTCCTCCCAAAGATCTTTCCCCCCCTTTCCTCCCTAAGTCCTTTTCCCTGAGTTCGTCTCCCTTTGCCTCCCTAAGATCTCTTCCCCCCTTTCCCGCTTAAGATCCTTGCCCCCGTTTCCCCCCTAAGGCCTTTTCCCCCCAAGATCTCCACCCTTCTCTTCCCAAAGTTTTTTTCTCTCTTTCCCGATTGAGATCCTGTCCCCCGATTGCCCCTTAGGGCCTGTTCCCCCCGAGAAAGATTTCCCTTTTCCTCCCAAAGATCTTTTCCCCCCTTTCCCCCTTAAGGCATTTTTCCCCAGATCTTCTCCCTTTCCTCCCTGAGATCTTTCCCCCCCTTTCGCTGTTGAGATCCTTTCCCCCTTTCCCCCCTTCATTTCCAGATCTTAGGGAGGAAAGGCAGAAGATCTGGGGCAAAAAGGCCTTAGGGGGGAAAGGGGAAAATTAATCTCAACAGGGCAAGGGGTGAAAAAGATCTTCGGGAGGAAAGGGAGAAGATCTGGGGAAAAAAGGCCAACAGGGAAAGGGGGGAAAAGATCTTAGGAAGGAAAAGCGCTCTCAGGGGGGGAAAGGCCTTGGGAGGGAAAGGGGGGAAAGGATCTCAACAGGGAAAGGGTGGGAAAGATCTTAGGGAGGAAAGGGGGGGGGGGGAAGATCTTAGGGAGGCCTCCCTAAGATCTTCCCCCCCTTTCCTCCCTAAGATCTTTCCCACCCTTTCCCTGTTGAGATCCTTTCCCCCCTTTCCCTCCCAAGGCCTTTCCCCCCCCTGAGAGCTTCTCCCTGTTCCTTCCTAAGATCTTTTCCCCCCTTTCCCTGTTGGGCTTCCCCCCCTAAGTCCTTTTCTCCCAGATCTTCTCCCTTTCCTCCCTAAGATCTTCCCCCCCCCTTTCCTTCCTAAGATTGTTTCCCCCCTTTCCCTGTTGAGATCCTTCCCACCCTTTCCCCCTGAGGCCTTTCCCTTCCTGAGAGCTTCTCCTTCCTTAGATCTTTCCCCCCTGTCCCTGTTGGCTTTTTTTCCCCCAGATCTTCTCCCTTTCCTCCCTAAGATCTTTTCCACCCCTTTCCCTGTTGAGATCATTTCTCCCCTTTCCCCCCTAAGGCCTTTGCCCCCAGATCTTCTCCCTTTCCTCCCTAAGATCTTTCCCCCCCTTTCCCTGCTCAGATCCTTTCCCCCCTTTCCCCCCTAAGGCCTTTCCCCCCCTGAGATCTTCTCCCTTTTCCTCCCTAAGATCTTTTGCCATTTTTCCCTGTTGAGATCCATCCCCCCTTTCCCCCCTAAGGCCCTTTCTCCCTCTGAGTTTTTCCCTTTTCCTCCCCACGATGTTTTCCCCCCTCTCCCTGTTGAGATCCTTTCCCTCCTTTCCCCCCTAAGGCCTTTTTTCCCCCTGCGATCTTCCCCCTTTTCCTTCCTAAGATCTTTTCCCCCCTTTCCTTGTTGAGATCCTTTCCCGCCCTTTCCCCCCTAAGGCGTTTTCCCCCCCAAAAGATCCTTTGCCCCCTTTCCCTGTTGAGATCCTTTCCCCCCTTTCCCCCCTAAGGCCTTCCCCCCCTGAGATCTTCTCCCTTGTCCTCCCCAAGATCTTTTCCCCCGAGATCTTCTCCCTTTTCCTCCCTAGGATCTTCTCCCACCTTCGCTGTTGAGCTCCTTTCCCCCTTTTCCCCCTAAGGCCTTTTCAGATCTTCTCCCTTTTCCTCCCTAAGATCCTTTGCCCCCTGCCCCTGTTGAGATCCTTTCCCCCTTTCCCCCCTAAGGCCTTTTCCCTGCCTGGGGCCTTCTCCCTTTTTCACTGAGATCTTTCCTTCCTTTCTGTGTTGAGATCCTTTCCCCTCTTTCCCCCCTACGGCCTTTCCCCCCGCTGAGATCTTCTTTCTATTCCTCCTTAAGATCCTTTGCCCCCTTTCCCTGTTGAGATCCTTTCCCCCCTTCCCTTTAAGGCC